GACCAAGGAGGATAGAAGGAGAATTGATGCCTTTGAGCTGTGGTGTTGGAGAAGAGTATTGAGAATACCATGGACTGCTAGGAAAACAGATTCATCTTGGAAAGGGTTAAACTGGGTGGTTCCTTGGAGGCAAGGATTCTGAGGCTCCATCTAACAGACTTTGGACATGTTGGAAGGAGGGACTGATCTTTGGAGATGGACATCATGCTTGGTAGGGTGGAGGGACAGTGCAGGAGGGGAAGGCCCTCTATTAGGTGGACTGATTCAGTGACTGGGGTAATCGGAATGGGTGTGTCGGAGACAGAATGATTGGCACAGGACAGAGCAGAGGTTAGGGCTGTTGTACATAGGGTCGCTATGAGTCGCAAGCGAATCGACGGCACATAACAACAACAACAACAACAACAACAACAATCAAATACCATTCTATTACTTATTCTGGAACAGTGGTTTCTTTAAGCATGCTAGCAGTGTTTAACACTGCATTAAGAAGATGGAAGTAAAACTACTGTAGGTAGTAAATTGTTGTCAGTAAGAAACCAATGCAAGTGATAAAAAGTGCTGTCCAAGCAGTAGGCCAATGGGAAAGAAATGTTAATATTAACTTAAAAAGGTCCAGAGCATCAATAATTAAGAAAACAAAAAGCTTGACCATAAGAAAAAGACCTGTTAATTTCCTTTCCTACTCTTGCTCATCAGCTTCATCTTGGTTGGTTCCACAACTGGTACTAGCAGTCCAGACATAAGGAGACACACTGCCCTGGGAAAATCTGCAGTTAGGGACCTCTCCAAATTATGGAGGAGTAATGATATCTATTTCAGGACTAAGGTGCATCTGATTCAGGCTATGGTCTTTCCGATCACTTGCTATGCATCTGAGAGCTGGACAGTGAATATTATCCCTATTCACTGTCCAGCTCTTAGAAGCATAGCAAGTGATCAGAAAAACCATGGCCTGAATCAGATGCACTTTACTCTTCAATAATTTGGAAAGGTCCCTAACCGCAGACTTTCCCAATACAATACGTCTCCTGATTTCCTGAGTGGTGGTACCAAGGATGTTTAATTGTGGATTCAAGTAAAATGAAGTTGCTGATAGAATCTCTTCTCCATTCATTATGATGTTGCCTTATCAGTTCAGTGCTAAGGATGTTTCTTTTTTTGACATTGAGAGGGAATCTATATTGAAGGCTGTATTCCTTGATTTTCTGAAACAGGTGTTTCAAGTCCTCCTCACTTTAAGCAAGCAAGGTTCAGTCCTTAGACCCATAATTTTTCCTGTAACAATTAGAATTCTGGGTCATTCAATTTTAAAACATTTTGGTTTGTTAACATTTTATTTAGTGGGCCATGACTAAACCAGTTCAAACGGGTCTGAAGCCCTGGTTCCAATCACTAACCTTTCACTTAGTAGCTGAGCACTGTTATTAAGTGCCATTGAGTATATCACAACTCATAGTGACGCTATAAGTAACAGATCTGAACCCTGTCCTAGCCTGTGCCGTCTTCATCTCTGACACACTCCAGCCCATTGCTGCAATCACTGTGTCAATATATCTTGTTGAGGGCCTTCCTCTCTTTCTCTGATCTTCCAACTTTCTAAACATGATGTCCTTCTCCAAGGAATATCTTCTCCAAACAACATGCCTAAAGTTTATAAGTTGAAGTTTGCCATCCTTGCCTCCAAGGAGCACTCTGATTTTACTTTTTCCAAGACGTATCTGTTCTTTTGGCTGTTCACAGTATGTTTAGTACTCTTCTCCTCTGCAAATCAAAGGCATTGACTCTTCTGTCATCCTTACTCAATGTACAGCTCTAAGAAGCACAACAGGTGACTGGAAAGACTATGGCTTGAATCACACACATCTTAGTCTTTAGATTGACATCACTGCCCTTCAGGACTTTGAAGAGGTCCCTGACAGCAGACTTTCCCAATGCTATACATCTCAAGAGCTCCTGACTACTGGCACTAAGGACACTGATTGTGGGCAGATTCAAGGAAGATGAAATCACTGACAATATCAACCTTCTGTCCACTCAGTTTCTGACCGGTCCACTGAATTTCTGCTTTCTTGATGTTAAGATGTAATAAATCCAGAAGGCTGCAGTTTATGATGCTCTGCAGCAAGCGCCTCAACTCCTCCTTGCTTTCAGCAAGCAAGATTGTATCATCTGCATAATGTAGGTTGTTGACAAATCTTCCTCCAATCCTGATGACACACTCTTCTTCATCAAGTCCAGCTTCTCAAATAATTTGCTCAGCATACAGACTGATTAAGTATGGAGAAAGGATACAAACCTAATTCACATCTTTCCCAATTCCAAATCATGCAGTATTCCCTCACTCTGTTTGGACAACAGCCTTTTGTATAAGCATAAATGAGGGTTCTGGAATTCCCATTCTTCTCAAGGGTAGGTAGTGTGGTGTTTATCTTTCAGTATAACTTTCCTACCGACTGTCTGACTTTGCCATATAGATTGGCAGGAATATGAGAATGAGGCATGTTAATCTCTCCACAGGCGTGTGGCTATCTACCAGTCCACAAGGCAACTGGCTAGTCTTGTCATTAAACTGAGCAATCCAGAAGCAGGAGAATAAGATCTTCCTTACCAGCTAAGAAAGAGAATGTAGGACGTCCTTTAGTACTAGAAATTTCTGCTCCAGCTATACTTATGGCACCCATGCATGGCAGCAGCAGCCATAACTGAACTGGAGACCCGAGGTGAGATGGGATCTTGGGACTGCTACATCATTAGAATTGGAGCTAAGAGCCTTTGCCCAAGTTTTTTTGACAACTTGGGGTGGAAAGGGAATATTAGCAGGATAGAGAACTTTGTAATATTGGCCTTAAGTTGTAAAACTCAAGGTTAGGGTGCCTGCAAGCACATTTTGAAAGCACTTCTTATTGAATTATGTTATTAACCAGGATTATGTTAACTATAACTTCAACTTCCCCAGCACAGTTCTGTATAGTTTGAGCTACTGTGTTGAATTTTGGATTCAACAAAGGAGTAAGACTGGTGCTGAGATGAACAGAATGAGGTTTGGGGAATGGAAGACATGTCTGATCTCATGGTTTTTGTGCTGTTGGTGGGGTCAACTCTCCTTTGTGAGTTGGTATAGGTCAGACACGGCTGTCCTCAGGTGGCTCTTCTCTTTTTATTGTTAGCCATAGTTTGTTATGATTGACACAGTGAAATGCCTTTGAATGGTCAATAAGACACAAATAGACATTCTTCTGGTATTCTTGCTTTCAGCCAAGATCCATCTGACATCAGCAATGACATCTAGTGCCAAGGCCTCTTCTAAAACAAGAATGATGCACTTTTGGCAATTCTCTGTCAATGTTCTGTTCTAGTAGTTTTGGGGTGATCTTCAGCAATATTTTGCTCACATGTGATATTAATGTATTGTTTGATAATTTTCACCTTTCTTGAGAATGAGAAAAATACAGACTGATGAGCATATCCAGGAACACAGTAGGATTCCTTTTAGGACCTAAGAGAGAAATTTCTAAAATTTACCTATTTAACTAACTTCACTTCATAAATCCTGACACATCAGTTCAGAGGGAAAAAATATTAAAAAATTCAGGCTTGTGTATTTAAAAGTTTCCCAGATAATGCAGATATGAAGCTTTGGTGGACTAACCTGTAGAGAACTGCTCTGCTAACCCAAAGGCCACCAATGACTCCATGGGAGAAAGATGGGTGATCTCCTACTATCCAATTAACTGCCACTGAAAACCCACTGGAGAGTCAGCTTGTGGTTTGTTCCAACTCAAAGGTTCACAACAACAACAACAAATTATGCATTCCCAAGGGCATGTGGTTCAAATCTACCAGCTGCTCCACGGGAGAAGGTTTGGTACTCTCCTTCCATGTGATCTCCTGCCTCTGAAAAATCACTGGAGGGTCAGCTATGAGTTGGTTCAAACTCGATGGCACACAACAACAATAACCTAAAAGACATTTATAAAAGATATTTTTTCTTAACTGTCAGTTATTAAACAATTTATAATCAAGATCATCCACATTACCAAGTAGCATAATAAACAGAAACATACATACCATTAGCTACATAGGTAATCTTGCATAGAACGTTGTCTCTGCTAATCTCCTGGTTTCCCTCTGGTGGGCTTACCAAGGTTTGACAGATCATAGCAATATTTATTTTGGCACGGACACATCGATTGTTCAGCTATCAAAACAAAAGAAAGCATGATAAAGTAATTCTGTACTATCTCTTGGGCTAAGACCATGTTAATTTAACCAAAATTATAATTTAAAAAAATTTCCAACAGATTTTTATGATGACCAATTACATGTGTCAAGGTAATGTGATATACTAGGAATGATTTGCTCCCCACTTGTGTAGTTAGTCAAGGCAGAAATCACAGTTATCTGTCAACAGTTGACGACGGTTTAAGAGCTAACAGTGAGAAGTAGCCTGTAAGTACTACTCATTCAGCTGTGTCACCTAACGTAGAAGAAACAGTAAGTCTTGCTGACACAACCATCACTGTTGCCTTCACGTAAACATATGAGTGACATCACTCTAACACGGCAACTGAACAAAACAAAAGCTAAGCAGCATTATTAAATCAAGTACTGAGTGTGATTATCTGTAGCCTCTGCCTTGTATTTGGCTCTTTACAATTAATCATATTCATTCACTCATGGTACCTACAGGAGCACTGTCATGATCCACAGAAAAATTACAAACTATCCATGTTTCAGGGTCATTTTCAGTCTTGGCTGGTATTTTTCGAATGGCAGAAAGATATAAAACATCTCGCTGAGAAGCAGGCCATACTCTCTGCAGAAAAAGTAAAAATGGAACTGCTTTTAATTCACTTGAAACTAAAAAAGAGTCAAATGTAAAACCAAGAAGTATCTTAGTTGAAGGTGAAAGAATTAAATTTTAGATGAAAAACATATGCAAATAGCCACCAAAATATAACTTCTGAATACTAATGACTTCGCAGAATAGTCTAATCTGAGGAATAATCTACTTTAAGTACAATAGTAAGCCAGTGTGAAATGTCCAGAGACCTAGAGAAAAACTTTAGGGGGAAGACTGCTCCTTTGATAACATAATCACATTCAAAAGAATTCCAGGTGACCTGGGCTGAAATCTTTCAGGTTTATATATGGAAAGAAAACCTCCACTAGACTGACCTGCAGCCAGTGACACTCTGAAAACCCTGACTAGCTACTTTCACATGAGGGGAAAAAAGTAACTATTTAGACATCTACTTATTTATTTATTTGGTATATATAGCTAAACTCAATTCTTACTATGCACAGGATCTTTCCTGAGTGTTGACTGTTAGAAATAGCGGGGAACCTGGAGACAGTACAATGTAAAAGATAAGAATACTGAACAAACGGATGAAAAGCTAATAATACAGATGATCTGGCCTAGGGAGAAATAATGAATGAAAATCTACCAGGATAATGATTATATAAGAATTTATGGAGAAGGAATGACCAAGAAATGAATGGCTCTATTTAAGACTATACTAAAAAAGAAGTAAAACTTAAAGGTAAAGAAGTTGAAAAGTACTGACTTTTCTGAAAAAAATTATGCCAGGATCATTTTCAAAGAATTGGTAAATCATTATAACCTAAATTGTTATATGTAACATACAATCTCGTCACAATTTTTCATTTGCTTTTTAAGAAATAACACTAACAAAACTTATACGTACGACACTGCTCCTCCCACATCTACTATTTACTAAGTGGGATACTTTGAGCAGCCCATTTTCCATGATCTTATCTTCACATCAGGTACTACTGTCCCTAAATTTTTGTTCATTTATTGCAATTCCTCATTACAGGGAGCTCTGGTGGCCTAGTGGCAAGAAGCTGTGCTGCAATCCCAAAGGCATATGGTTAGAGGCTACCAGATGCTCCACGGAAGAAGGATGAGCAATCTCCTCCTGTGCAATTAACTGCCTCTGAAAATCTGCTGGAGGGTCAGCTATGAGTAAACAACAACAATTACAGAGCCAATAACTGGTACATTAACTTTTTTTACATTTCAGATCTCACAGTAGACGCTAAAATTTGGATGATGATATATAATCTTCACTGTTTACACTTACTGAACAGCTACCGTGTAATATGAAGGCAACTAGATGATAAAATATTTCAGATAACAAGACTGAGCTGAAGAAATAATACATAGCAAAAGTCATAAATTTTCATACATCCAGATTAAAAACATTAAAAAAATCAAGTATCTAATAATCATAATCATATAAAATATTTTTCAGCTCTCCCTCAAATTTTAAATTCTTTTATTGTTCTACATAGAACACATTATTTGGCAATTCTAAGCAGGGGAACCAAACAAGTAAGGTAAGAACTATCAAAAAATAGTATAACTACACACACACACACACACGCACACGCACACACACACACACACACACACACACACAGAACTATAAAAAAAAGCTGATTCCAACTCGTATAGTATCATGTTAACTACTGTTGTAAGTCTCTGTAAAATTTTAAGAAACTACAAAAGCTGAGGGTGAAATGAAATGAATGGCAGCCAATTTAAATAATACTGTTTCTGTCTGCTCTGGTGTATGACCAACATTTCAGTCAAGCACTGCAAACTTCTGCCACTTAGATCACTTTCCTATGAGTCTTAATACAGGTAATGACATATTTTCGTTCCCATCACAGGAAGCTGCTCCACTTTCATATTTAGTTAGTATCTTTTGGTCTTTGATAGAAATCCAAGGAAAGTAGTTGTTGTATTTCAGAAGGTTCTTTTCTGGAGTTAAAAAATACCTAAAGAAAAATCTACTATGGGTCTGTACCAACTGTGGTTCTTCCTGGATTATATTTCTCCTTCAGACTCTTGTCTGTACACATTTCTGCTCTAAATGAGCTGAACATTCCTTCACATACATGATATTCACAAATTATTCACAAACTATTTAGACCTTTGGTAGCATTTTAGTTCTTGCCAAATTTCAATTTAGAGAATTTATGAGCCCTAGTTTCAATTACAATGGAGTTCTTCTGGATGAAAAGATATTTACCTTGTGTGTTTGATAAACGATGATTGCATTATCAGCTAATGTTTCCACCACATGAAAGTTCTCTATAGTTGCTGAAATGAAAAGAATGAGAGAGTAACAAAAAGATATTTTTTTCCTAGAATATGATTATGGTAAAAATAAATGGATATTATGGAAAAATGAAGAAAATTTACAAATGGAATATAGTTATCAGGGCTATATATATGTATCAGGGCTATTGACAGAGAGGACAACATGATACCTGATCACTATGAAGTCTATCTTCTTTGGCTTGATAGCTACCTTTCACCATCAGAAGGAAATTTTAACCACTATGTAATATACAAGCTCAAATCATTATTTAATAATAACCCCTCACTGTAATCTTTAAGTTACTGAAGTAGAACTACAGCTCTATTTAAGCTTGTTGCTGTTAGGTGCTGTTGCACTGGTACCCATTTACAACAATCCTATGGACAACAGAAGGAAACACATCCCTAGGTGTGCCATCCTCACGAGTGCTGCTACGCTCAGGCCCACTTTTATAACCTCAGTGTCAATCCATATCACCAATGGTCATCTTCCTTCCTGAGGATCCTCTCCCAAGCATGATGTTATGGCCCAATCCTGATAATGACTTAGGCTTAGGTGACATCATTTGGGGGGATGGGGGTGGGAGTCAGTTTGCCAATACAAGACATCTATGATATTTGGAATTAAATGTATTTTTGAAATTTGGTGTCTAACAGTATAACAATTATTCCAAAGTAACTACAGTAGGGTTCATTTAAGATTGATTATGGAATCAAAATAGACTAGGTTAAAAAGGCCAAAATTAATACAAGTTGCCATCTGACTCAGTAATCCTACAGGATAGAGAACTGCTCTATAGGGTTTCTAAGACTGTAAATCTTTACAGAAGCAGAATGACATGTATTTCTCTCATGGAGCAGCTGGTAAAGTAAAAGCACTAACCTTTAAGTTAGTGCTTTAGTCAATTTGTCACTAGTGTTCTAGGATAAAGGGGTAAACAACAGTAGACATCAAAAGAGAACCTTTCCATTTTAGTCCTGGCAGTTTGAATCTATCAGCAGCTCTTCAGGAGAAATATGGGAAATCTGTTCCTGGGGTGATATAATCTCCAAAAACCATTGGAAGATTAGCTCTAGGTTGGTCCTGACTCGATTAGCAACTAGTTGGTATATGCAAAATGAGAAACACTATACTAACCTGTATCCACAATGACTGTGTATCAAATGAAAAATGTTATACACCACACATTATGAGTTCCTACATAATGCTTCAGAATAATGAAAATAAATTATTCAAAAGCGCTTACTTTCCCAGTCATTTCGAACATCAACATTCCAGAAGTAATTGCAAACTTCATGTCCTGTGACACCTTTAACTGCATGGGTAGCTTTCAAAGGATCGAGAACAATTCCATTCTCTTCTACTTCTCTTCTATATACCT